GCTCAGCCCCGTGTTGGAGCCGCCGGAGGAAGGCTCCTGCCCAGGCACCATAACCCGTCCCAGGGCTGGCACCACTGTGGGTAACACCGCTGGCACGGCGGGGAGGGTAAACAAAGGTCTCGGTGTGGCTTTCACCCTCAGCGTCTCTAAGGACCTGCTTGAAGGTGCCGCTCCGGTGCATCGATCCCGGCAGTCAGCCCATCAGCGTCCCCTCCGCGCATCCCTCCTTCCCCTCGCCTGGCGGGAACCCCCCGTCCCAGGCCAGCTGCCCACCGCTCCCCTCCGCAGAGCTCCCTAGCAAGACTGCCGGGTGATCGGTAGGGATTTCCTTTCAGATCTTTGTCGAGGGCGGTCGGAGCTCTGGGGCACGTTGACACCTTAATCAAGCAAACCCCGCGCTGGCTCAGGCGCTGTTTTTGCAGGGCAAGCCCCTGGTGAAAGAGGCTGCGGGAGGGAGAGGGGCAGGAGCCCCGGCCAGGCCGGCAGCCACACGCCAGGTAAGCTAAAATGCAGTTTATTCCATATTTTACACTGCCAGTCCTTTGACTACTTTGTTTTTAAATATTTCCCTAAGATCGGAGTGCTACACTTCTTTGACTGTTTTTAATACATGCAATCAGCAACTATGGCAATTAAGAGGCCTAATTAGCATCTGAATCAGTCTTCTCACACAACCCCCCTCCACAATAGTAGCAAATAAATGGTAACGGAGATGAAGAACCCGCACAGGGTCTGCAGCCCCACACAGGCAGGGGCAGCGGGCCCATGCTGGCGCTGGGGAGGGGGTCCCAGGAGGGATTTTGCTCCGGCAACAGGTTTCCCACAGCGACCTGCCCATTTTAGGATTAGGACACGCTCCATGACCAGCCACGCTCCGGCTCCGGGTGGAGACCCAGGACAAGGCTTCTCAAAGAAACACACACCAGGCACCAGATGTTTCCCTTCCGCAGAGAGCACCAGCAAACAAGAGCTCCGCTGGCCCTAGCTTACCTGCGGCTGCCTAACGAGCCCCCCGCCACCCCCCAGCGCCTCCATGGGAGCCCATCACTTTTGTCAGAAGGTTAAGTAAGATCTCAATTAAGCGACACGTCAAATTGTAAGACCAGCTCCTTCGAAACCGCCTCCTTCCAGACGAGCGAAGGCAGCTCCGCTTTCAAAGCCCAACCTCGGGCTGCCCGCGGGCGCCTCGGCACTCCAAGGCTGACCTCCTCCCCGCGCCCTCCCCGGCTCTCACACCGCCCGGGCGGCTGCCACGGCGCCACACACCAGCGCCA